GAATAATCAGTAATGTAATTTATTTAATTTATTTTAGATGTAGATTATATACTATGTATAACTTGAATTATACACCAACAACTTTGGGGGTACAAAGTTGAAGAGAAATTATATCTGGGGGTACGCGAATAAAAAAGGTTGAATCTAGTACACACTCCCAGTCTCCGCCATGACACTCGAGTCGCCCTAGTTGCTAGGCCGCTGCTCACGACAGTTGCGAACATGAAGTAGTTATTGTGGATCGTAACCTCCGTTAGTTCTGGAACGTTACTTCGCATCGAAATCTTTTGATTCTGTTTGTGACGCATTTAGAAATGCATCTTGAATAAAACCATAATATCTACGCTGACGTTTTGCTCGTGAATACACAATGTTCTCACCTGTTAAACTTACATTTTTCATCATTATATTTTTAAATATCAGAAAGGAAGTTAAAATTTTCTGAACTTAACAGAATTACAAATTCGTCGAGTTTAACACTTTTTAATATTTTTTTTCTGTGGCAAATAAAACCAAAATTGAAATTATAATAAGTATTTATTGTTTTTATTTGAACTGAGGAATAAAAGCAGTGGAATATTTTGTAGTAAATTTTGAATGTAACGACTACTAATACCACATTTTTAGAAAGACGACAAACACAGAATTTAATTGTGTCGAACGCAATGTCAGATAGAACTTGAAAAGAATTTAATTGTCCTTGGAGTCACAGATGCTAATGACAAATGACATATCAACCTACCTATGTTCTTTGCTCAACGGCTTGCTATGCTCTTGAAATGTCCCTTTCTTCAATGACGTATATCCGGCTTTGTAACATAATACTTACACAACTTGTAGTAGAAGTTGACACTTAAAAAATGAGGTCAGTTAGGTAACCGTTATTCAAAATATCACGTGCTCTGAAGTAGGAGAGAAATTCAGCGAAAGTTTAATAACAACAAAAAGCTAATTCAGTTCGCGTACAGAAGCACATCTGAAGATGTCGCTTCGCACAGAACTTCTAGCCTCCTCCACACTCATTTCTGTATCCCCTCTTCAGCTGCCAAGTTATGGGCTTCCCCCCTCCCGCCATTCCAACCACTCATCCAGCTAGTTTGTCCCCCGGCCTCAAATTTGATGAAGGATGCATTTCCGGTTGGACAACTAAAGGCTAATTCGAAGACATACCACACGCTGGATTTACGTCTCTGTCAAGCAGACCATTGGGTTTGATCCCCTCTACAAGAACAGTGCCATAATAATTTTCTCCACTTGTAGGAAGAAGTCATTATCGTGAATAATACATGGTCGTTTTTCACGCGCTCTGTACTTCTGTTGTGAAGATACAGAAATTAATCTTTTAATTGTAATTACCGCCTTTTTAACTTTCAATAACGCTACATTTTGCCCATTGTGTAGGTACATTTCTGAGTATTGCATGATTTTTTTATTTTATTTTTAGTGTTCTGTCTGACGACAGGTCCATATGAACAGGATCCTTCCATCCTTTTCTCGGACTGGGACCTGTTCATATACGTTCTTGGCAGATGATCCAGAAGTGGTTTGCCATTGCCTTCTTCTGTGTGTGAATGGAGTAATTGTTGGGATGCCACGGAGGAAAACTCCGTGTTGCCTAGACCACGGCCTTGCCCAACACAAGTTATAAATTCGGGCACCGCCGGGATTCGAACCCGAGACCCCAGGATTACAAGGCCAGCGTTCTAACCGCTAGACCACCGTGGCTTATTGCATGATTATCGAAATAAAAATTAAGTAGAATTTGAGGTTATCACAGAGGTGAGTAACAAGATGGCTGTCTTCTGGATTGTAGTGCGGTCTTGCACCATTTGAGAGTCGAGTTCCTAGTGTCGAATCCCGCTTGTGGACAAATGCAACGACAAATTCTGTTGTGTTGTTTGTAGATATGCCCTACAAGGGGCTTTTCCACATTTTAACAATTTTATTAAATTTATGAAAGATTAAATGAAATATAATCTGTTTGATATTAAGAAAGTTTTAAATAGAAGGTAATCTAATAATAATCATAAAAATATTTTTCAGTTTTGTGAATTTTCATTGTGTCAGTTGTGTTTGTTTTCCGCGATGCTTCGGGAAATTGCTTTACTCCTCTGTTCGGGCGATTAATTGTCGTTTCACTGTCTTATTTTTATCACTTCCGTTTTCATATTAGTGTCTATGGCCATCGTTAAAAGTAGTTCGGTTGTGCGCGTAATAACACAGCATTTGAAAGGTCCCAAGTTCGATCCGGTCTGTCGGCAGTAATATTAAAACAAAACCTGCCAATGTAATGACAGTCAATTAGCCAAATATGGAAGTAATATCAACTTTCAAAAGTCACACAGTTCTACATCAAACTTATCTCAGACATGTTGTTTATACAGGACGAGTCAAAAGTATATTTGAAGATTTCGCGGCGAATAGTAGAATGACTTCTGTTCTGAGTTGACGCGGTTGGTCAACCAAGAGGACTCCATGACCTTTCCATGTGTCAGACAATAAATTTAGTACTAATAATAATATCAGTATTAGCGATTTTAGATATGAAAGAGGGAACAAAAATTCTGAGCTAATAGTAGCAAGCATTCTGCACTCAATTCTCTGTAAATATATTTTAAAATATATGAAGTTTGTCACTTTTTTAAAATAATGTATTAGCTAACATTTTATTTATTTTTATCCAACACTGGTGATGACGATACATGGACATAACTTTGTTAAAATGTTGAAGCTGTGCAAATTTTTTAAAATTTATAAATAAAACGAAATAAATTAATATCAAAGTTTTCGAATTTGCTTATAGAAATAACTGATATAATTAATAATATAAATCCAAAGTATCCAAAGTAAATAAGAGAAGGTAAAATTTTGTCGTCCTTTTATAAATTTATTATTCCATATTTTTTCCCCGTAACTTATTATTACGATTATACGTGGGCTAATCTTGTAATTTTAAGATCATAACTTATTAGACCCGTTCCGAAATACGAGGAAACTGCATTCTAAAAATGACAGTTCTCTCACACAAAGACTGTCCTCACTGATAAGTCTGCTTGTTGCCAACATCTGGCGCTGCAGTCTAGCCGGAGAAGTGAAGCCCCCCTCCCCAAATTTTCTATGTGCCGGATCACTGCCCTGCACTCCTTATAAACGCAGTGATGTGAAAACATGGGCAGCCTTGAATAATTTATTTGAAATCTGCCCTGACTACGGTTTTTAATACATAAATGCCAGTAATCTTTGAACAAATTATTTAATGACGATCTAAAAAAATCTGTGGTTATTTTGGCGTTTGGGGAAAGAAAGGTAAAAATATATCGGATGCCAAGTTTGTAAGGTAATATCTCGAACTGTTTCTTAGGGGTTACGAAAATTCCCGTGAGAAAAAAGTAGGTGGGATTTGTTTCCGAAGCCCGACTTCGTCATGAACATCGGATAGATCAACTACAAATATCATTTTTCCTTGCAAATAATAATAATAATAATTATAATAATAATAATGGCCCGAAACAAACTTCGACATTTTGTGTCGTATGAAAATACTCTCTGCTACAAAAAACACCAGCCCCTTTAGACGAGTGTGTATTTCATGAGATGTTCATCGTTTGCTTGTACATTCGATCCAATGCTCCCCTCCGTACTAAATGGGCAGAGAAAATAACTTGTGATCTAATTAGTAATTCAGTTAAGGTTATCTAAATAGTTTATATTAAAAGAGCAGATGTACAATAAGAACATATATTAAACCAGCTAGATAATACAGTCCAATCTGAAAACGAAATAACAAGCATGTCTAGACAAAGTGAACAAATAGGAATACAAGAGTAGTATGCGATGGTTCAGATTACCATTTCTACGCTGAAAGTCTCTCACTACTGTAAAATAACAGCGTGGAGTCGTAGCAGACTAAAAACAATGCTCACAGTGCGAGAAGAAGTCAGATGGGGACCTGAGTGTTGGCCTTCCTTTGATAATTTACATGGATAACAAAAGCAGAATTTCGTATTTAGAAAATTAACACGCTCAAATAACCCCAAAAACTTCATAAGAGCTAAATCAGAAGATAACATGGAAAGAAATCCAACTCTCTAGAAATATAACAACGTGACTTACGATTTACGCTGGTTTCCATTAGAAAACAAGATTGTAACGTAAGGACGCCACCCGTAGCAGTCAAAAGAAAGTTACAATACATTTGATTATCGAGACCATTACAGATCGAAGGCTAATCGGAGTCTCCCTGGTCGAAAGGCAAGGCTTTGGGCGGTTTGAGGGGGAAAGGAGAAGAGGGACGCGAGGAGGTAGGGAGAAGAGGGGAAACGGTCCTCGCTGATGTTGTCATAAGGTTGTACCAACCCTCCGTTACAATTGTAAAGCTATCAAAGCGTAATAAAGAGAACATCCTCATATAATGAGTTGTTTTTTTCAGGTTGCTAAGGTGGTAAATATGAATTTATCTGAACTGAGGATCTCAATTCCATTTGCCTCCACTAAAGCTGGAAAGTAAGAATAGTTATTAATCAGCTTTCAGTTTGCGCTGCCATAGGACCAGTTTCGTCGTATGGAATAGGTAACGAAACTCATAAATTGTAGAAATGCAGGGAAGAATTTTGTACACAAATTATCTAGCTGCACTATACAGTGAAATTTCATAACATTAATATTCCCTGTTATCTCTCTGTTTTTGTTTTTATCATCACTGTAACAACACCTCTGTTGTTTAACAGTGCAAGGTGCGCTGTCTTAGGTTAGGGACTACAAGTTATTAATTTTTAAATAACACGCGTTCACTCTATAAAACTGTGTACAAATCTAAAGCAGCTAATTTAAGCCTCTGATTGGTTGCTTCTGAGCTGGACAAATAATATGAACAGCGAAATTAGGACATGTTTTAAAGTTCTAACGATGGAACGAGGCTGGATTTGGAAGAGAGCAAGTAATATTTAATGTTTAAAATTATTAAATTTAAAGGCACGTAGGTTCTGCTATAATTGACAATGTTTTTAAACATTGCAGCACGCAATGTCAGTTCACTCTCCATTTAGTACTCGCAGCGTCCACAGAATGCAACTGATTTGTTATAGGCGGCACCATCGCGCCGTAAACAACGCTCTCTGTCGTACTGTGAGAGAACCATACACCACGCCAGTCAGATCCCGAACGACACATGGCAACTGGGAGTCGGATTTTTTTTCGTCAGGCAACATCTTTGACATTATAATGTTTCCAGCAACTGGGGCAGAGTACACAAATGCAGAAATGTGATGACTCATTGTGGCGTTGCTAGTTAAAATAAAACACAGGATGTTTTTGTACCAGGAAGTGATGTCAGTACGAGTTACACTGTGTCTACTATTTCGAGGAGATTTCGCATCTTACACCGATTTAGGAATTAAAATGTTGGCAGTCTCTGATTCCCAGATGGGTAGTAAAAACTATGATGATTTTGATATTTTTTTACATTTGTTTCTAACTCTTCTAGCGAAATGACAAACTCCATGGATAGAGTCTTTCTTCGAGAAACTTATAATTATTCAGCTAGTCAAATATTTCTACGCTTTCCATGAACCGGAAATTTATAACCGTACACTCAATCGTTCTTATCCTGAGCCAAATAAATCTATTCCACAACCTCCCCTCCTGTGCCCGAAAGACCCATTTTAATATTATGCTTTTTAGTTCTATCTATGCCTAGGTCTTCCTAGTGGTTCCTTTCCTTCAGTTGTCTCAAGAATTAGTGCATGACGCACGTTGTAACTGTCATTTACATTTACAAATTTTTTTAGGAGCTCAATGGGTGTCTCAAAGGCCTGTGGCAAACCCTTAGGAGATTGCTGTAGAGATAATGGTGTCTGAGAATGTAAACAAGTATCCGTCCACCTTTACAGAGTAACGAAAACTCTAAGGCTTAGTCTCCGTTTCGTCTTTGTTTATTCAAGCGGTTGAATCTTTATAACGTCATAAGATTTGTTGCGTTCGGTTATGACTCATTGTTTCCGCATGTAAAGTAGTGATTGCAGCGAGACCCAGTTACACGATCAGGAATGCGTGTTAAACAAACTGAAAAATTTAAATTGAAAAGAGCTAATATCTTCGAAATGTTTGCCTTCCAGACCTCACAATTAAAATCAAAAATAGAAATGTTAAATGCAAATGACTGAATGTATGTTTCTACACAAATAACAATTATTCCAGTTTCGTTAAACTCTTAAATTTTTTTTAAAACGGCGTTGAATCGAAGATTAATTTATTTATATTCGATTCAACAGCCCCCTAAAGTGTAATTATATCATTCTGAATCATTTTGTATATTTATAATGCTTGGTGTTTTCACGTACGTGGAAAATGAATATGTAATCTTTAATAGGAAGGAAAATGCTATTGTGCAGAATTTAATATACATTTATTTAATTAAGGTTTATCAGAGATGCCCCTAGTGTGAATATCAGTTTAATTTATATTTTCTTCTACGTTAAATGCATTTTTAAATATAGACAAAATTTTAACAGATGACCCTCATTTATAACTTTGCTGTTCTTGAGTCGTTAACAAGGGATATATGTGATTCCATTTTTGAAAGAAAAAAAAAGATTGTGAAGTTTTTCATTAACAAGCCAAACATTTCCGAAGCATTGAACTGTGAGTTGGTAAAATATGCAAACATTCGATTTAAAATTTCCTATCATTACCTCATTCCAAAATTAATCATATTCTGAGCACCATAAAATATTATATATACAAATTATTTTTCGCTGAACAAAAACGCCTTTGATGGCTGTCTTCTGGGTTATAGCGCCTTGTAATCTTGTAGAAGTTTACCGACGTTTCGGAGGTCTTTACTGCCTCCATCATCAGGTAGATGATGTAGGCAGCAAGGACCTCTGAAACGTTGGTAAAATTCTACCAGACTACATGGCGCTACAAACCCAGAATACAGCCATCTTCGGACTCACCGCCGACATAACCTCAAATCCTAAACAGAAGCCTTTTTCTTGAAACATTGGTTGTTCTCGCACCACGAAACACCTTGGAGATTCCATGCTCCATAAGAGACGGACATCCCAATAAAAGTACAAAATAAAAACAAACTTTATGGTTCATTCTTGTTTTATTTTAAGTTTAAATTCTGCAAGATATAGATAAAAAAGAGGCCTATATTTAAAATATCAATGGACATTATAGTAATACTGTAAATATCAATATTCAACCAGTTTTCGCATTGAGTTGATTGCATTTTATTATATGCATTCAAAGTATTCAAAGCATTAAAACTGTATAAAAATCATGTTGGTATTGTCTTATTATATTTAAAATACTTCAAGACAGATTACAATATTAGATTCCAGATCCGAAAATTTCTTCTAGACAAACATCATTTTAACTGGGAGCTATTAATACAAAAATGATGACGATAACGAAATAATAATAATAATAATGGGGTAGATTATAATTTATTCTTACGTTTTCTTTAATTCTCCATGTTTTCTGACGAAGGTTATTGCTTATTCGTTTTAAAAATACTTTATTTGTCATCATATTAATATGATTACCAAAGTATAATATACTGAAGTATGCCAGCAAGTGTTGCCAACTGCACTGCTTCAAGGGCGGGACCCAGAACTGTCGCCATGTTGTAATAGCCGCCATAAACTTGCAGACCTGCAGTCTCGATGCTCTGTTTACAGTAATCTCCGTCTGAAACAGTGCATTATGAAAAACTTCATTACGACCGGCCCACAAATCGAGACACGAGGCAAAAATGTCTTAACTAAAATGTAATCTAACTGTCGCCTTCTGAAAATAACCGAAAATGCCTACTTAGATGATCCGTCTTCCACATATTCCGGAGTCCGGGATGAGTGTAGGACTTCTGCAGTTCGTTGTGATTTTCCTCAGTTGTTTCAATGAATAATTTATTTAAATCGACAATGGCTACACATTTGTAGTTGGTACAGTGCCGATTAATTATAATATTTATCAAATCTAAAAGTTCGTGAAGATGATGAGTTATTTGAATAAAAATTCCTTGTATATTTTCCATTGTCTAATAAAATAATAAAATAGAAAAAACGACGTTTCGGAGATAGAGCCCAATCTCCGAAACGACTCTTTCCTATTTTATTATTTTACTAGACGATGGAAAATATACAAGGAACTTTTTATTCAAATTATAATATTATATACATAAAGACTTCTAAAATAATTATCAAATATGTAGACGTAAAGAAATATAACTGAGTTCCGTTACTGAACTCATCTAAACAGTTAACACAGACAGGATAATATGAAAATCCGAAATAAGGCGAACACAATTTTTTACATTGCGTAAGCTTAACGAATAAGGTGTTCAAATGATCAGCCGATAGACAGAGGCACAAACCTTAGACATCAAATACACTGTAGACGAAATCTTGGAAATAATTAAGCTTGTGTATGACTTCGGACCTATTGTAAGAAGCTGTTGCTTGCAGGGTCCCTCCCTTTTCACCAAGGCGTGGCACGTGCTCAGGTTTTGGGTCAAGGAGACTGCGTCTGGATTTGGAGGGTAACTGCGAATTTGTTGAATAGCGGACGGTAGAAGAATGATTCTCTACCTTGGTCACTGGGCGGGGATCCATTCTGTCGGCGCCATATAAGTCTAGCGCTTTATGAAATAGTCGCAATGGGCTTCGCGCGTGTTCTTGTGAACTTCAGGCGCCACAAATGGCTGGGAATTTATTTCCCACTTGAAGATTACCAGATCCCTGCTTTCTTTAAGTATGAAATGCATTTTAAGTGTGTAAAAATGCGTGTTACAGACGTAATAAAATATCTAAGTCACTCAGCGATAACTGTAATTGTTTTGTCTGCTTTAAGGTTTTATAATTTTTATATAATTTGCTCCAAAAAATAACATTTTTTTGTCAACGACGAAACAAACATTCCAGATAAGTGATCCGACGGTAGTCCGACTTCGAACCCGGTTCACATTAAATCAGTGAATGTCTGTTTATTGCATTAAGTGCGCGTTAGCTTAAGTGACTGTTTCTTGTTACTGCAGTAGGGAGAGACCGTGTCTGTATGGAACCTAGACCGCCATTGGCCATTTAGAGACATGCAAATTTGCAGAGAACGTGTTTTGATAGTAATTTTCATTCTTCTACAATAGTTTGGTATATATTGGCTGCCCATGTTTGTCTTGTGGTGTAAGTAACAAGTCTAAACATGGATGTCTTCTGGGTTGTTGTCTGGTAGCACTCCTGAAACGTCGGTAAACTTCCACCAGACTACACGGCGCAACAGCCCAGAAAACAGCCATCTTTAAGCTCACCGCCGACATAACCTCAAATCCTAAACAGAAGCCTTTTTCTTGAAACATTGGTTGTTCTCGCACCACGAAACACCTTGGAGATTCCATGCTCCATAAGAGACGGACATCCCAATAAAAGTACAAAATAAAAACAAACTTTATGGTTCATTCTTGTTTTATTTTAAGTTTAAATTCTGCAAGATATAGATAAAAAAGAGGCCTATATTTAAAATATCAATGGACATTATAGTAATACTGTAAATATCAATATTCAACCAGTTTTCGCATTGAGTTGATTGCATTTTATTATATGCATTCAAAGTATTCAAAGCATTAAAACTGTATAAAAATCATGTTGGTATTGTCTTATTATATTTAAAATACTTCAAGACAGATTACAATATTAGATTCCAGATCCGAAAATTTCTTCTAGACAAAAATCACTTTAACTGGGAGCTATTAATACAAAAATGATGACGATAACGAAATAATAATAATAATAATGGGGTAGATTATAATTTATTCTTACGTTTTCTTTAATTCTCCATGTTTTCTGACGAAGGTTATTGCTTATTCGTTTTAAAAATACTTTATTTGTCATCATATTAATATGATTACCAAAGTATAATATACTGAAGTATGCCAGCAAGTGTTGCCAACTGCACTGCTTCAAGGGCGGGACCCAGAACTGTCGCCATGTTGTAATAGCCGCCATAAACTTGCAGACCTGCAGTCTCGATGCTCTGTTTACAGTAATCTCCGTCTGAAACAGTGCATTATGAAAAACTTCATTACGACCGGCCCACAAATCGAGACACGAGGCAAAAATGTCTTAACTAAAATGTAATCTAACTGTCGCCTTCTGAAAATAACCGAAAATGCCTACTTAGATGATCCGTCTTCCACATATTCCGGAGTCCGGGATGAGTGTAGGACTTCTGCAGTTCGTTGTGATTTTCCTCAGTTGTTTCAATGAATAATTTATTTAAATCGACAATGGCTACACATTTGTAGTTGGTACAGTGCCGATTAATTATAATATTTATCAAATCTAAAAGTTCGTGAAGATGATGAGTTATTTGAATAAAAATTCCTTGTATATTTTCCATTGTCTAATAAAATAATAAAATAGAAAAAACGACGTTTCGGAGATAGAGCCCAATCTCCGAAACGACTTTTTCCTATTTTATTATTTTACTAGACGATGGAAAATATACAAGGAACTTTTTATTCAAATTATAATATTATATACATAATATATATATATATATATATATTACTTCTGTACATTTAAATGCACGGAGAATGTGGTACATAAGTGTAAAGACTTCTAAAATAATTATCAAATATGTAGACGTAAAGAAATATAACTGAGTTCCGTTACTGAACTCATCTAAACAGTTAACACAGACAGGATAATATGAAAATCCGAAATAAGGCGAACACAATTTTTTACATTGCGTAAGCTTAACGAATAAGGTGTTCAAATGATCGTTTTTTATTACATTTAACTCCTTGTAAAGTTAAATTATGTTCGCACTGAAGAATTTAAATGTCGAAGATGGCTGTCTTCTGGGTCTCGCCCTGATGATGGAGGCAGAAAGGACCTCTAAAACGTCCGTAAACTTATACTAGGCTACACGGCGCTACAACCCAGAAGACAGCCAACTTCAGACTCAGCGCCGTGAGAAGTTCAAATCTTTACAATGTAAATGTCAATTAGAGTATGAAATTTTCCATGAACATTGTGAAGTAATATTTAAAACGTTATTTCGGAATCAGGAACTTGGGAACGATAATAATAAACCGAACATTATGACGAAATTACTTTAGGGAAAAAAGCCTGCCATAATTCAAGTGATATTCATTTATCTTTAAGTATCCTATCTAAATACTGAAATATAAAAATATATTTTATAAGATAAAACACGGCTTTTAAGTCTCTGGGAAGGACATTGATTGTGGATGTCTGAAAACAAAATTCCGAGGAAAAATACTTTATCCTGTAATAGAGGAATTAAGCTTAACATTAACTTAAATAAATCTGTGTAGCTTATATTATGAGTTACGTAACATGTAGTCTCGCATAATATTGATTAGGTGATTATATCATACAGTAAGTGATAAGTCAGAGGCATGAAAAAATCGTATAAGATATAGTTCAGAAATCCTAAAGATAAGACAGCATTTTGAAGACATGGCCTTAAACGGAGGGCAATGTTAAGATTGATCTTTGAGACATACGGTCCAGTAACGAGCCCTTGTGATTCGCCAATTAAACTTGGGATCGCATAAAAGAAGGGAATTTCTTACAGAGTTCAATAACTATCACATTTCATTAACTGACGATAAAAGTTACGATGCAAAAGAAAATTTATGAGGGATTAGGGCAGGGGTAAAATTGTTGGAACACATTACCTTCAAGTATAAGCTGATGGTGTTGAAGTTTTGGGCGAAAACTTAAAAATAGTAATTAAAAACTATATTAGATGCCAGTAAAGAAATAGTTCTAGAAATAAACGCAGAGAAAGTCTCATCGCCAGAATGCAGGATAAAACTACAATATAAATAATTTGAAAACTCAAATAACTGGGACAGACAATAATAAATCATAAAAAATTAAGTCCATGTTAAGTTTCTACCATACACTTCAAGGTTTAACGGTTAAATTTAGGTACGTATTTCTCGTTTCTCACAACGGTGCTATGGGCTTAATATTTTGAAAATTAATTTTAAACACACTTTAAAATTATATGCGTAAAACACGAATAAACTTCTTTCCGTCGTGGGAAATTCAAACAGCAATTAAGATGTTAACATTTTTCGGACCGTCCAAATTAATATAAGATGTATCGATAAATTACAAAAATTAAACAGTAAATAATTTAATGTGACCAAGAATAATTTATACAGGCAACTCTCGAATTACGAACGTCACAATTCATTCAAAATTTCTTAAAGTCGCCAATAGATAGAGTTCCTTATAAAAAGAAATGCCAAACGTATATTGAACATACATAATTGTAAGATTTAAATAAATAAACTTTTAAAAATGTATTTATTGCAATAATTACCAGAAAATTATTATATGGTAATTATACTGAACTGTTCTTGGTTAATAAAACTAATCTAGCCAGTAAAAAAAAAACGTTGGTTTACATGTCTCGCCGCGTAGAATGTTTTCTCGTGGGAAAGAAATCTGTGACTCCCCCTATTATAATGTAATATGATCAACACTTGATTGCGATGTTTAGTAAATGGTTTTAATGCTTTAAAATGGCTGCTAACGTATCATAAAAGCTCAGGAATGCAAGATACACATAACGAACAACGTCTTGGAACGGAACTCGTTCGTAAACCGAGAGTTGCCTTTATTTGAGTACAACCGAAAGAAAACAACTTTTAAACTCCTGAATAAGAGCAGAAACAGTCTGGGGACCGCTACAAAACAGATTAATCTAATTTTTCGGCTTTATGTAAGCAACCCAACATAAATATTAAATGCCGGTGAAAGCGTGATAATGAACACCAGAGTAATTTTTACACAAATGTCCACGGGCTGTAATATAACACGATAACACCGACTACACTCGGCACAACTGTAAGCCACTCATGCGCTGATTCAAAATAACATTCGCCTAGTTTCACGTGAGATGATTCACTACAGCAAGCGGTCATTAGAAAGCTGACTTCCTGTAACATTAGAAGAAAAAAATATAGAACACTGGATTTTAGGGGGGGGGGCATATATTAAGCTATTAGTCTTTGGTTTCAAGCGACAAAGGTTGCAGCTTTGACCAGGCAGTGGACAAAGAAGAACTACAGTCCACAGACCAGGAGAAAATCCCTGCTAGGAATTCGATATACGCGCATGCGCAAGATTTCGCGGTGAGTGACGACC